TATTTAATTTATATGCCACCCACTCTACCCAAAGGTCTCTGGGCGGCTTACAACAATTAAAATTCAATACAATAAAATATAAAATGATTAAAATGCAATTAAAATACGATTAAAATACAATTAAAATTGCCATCATCAAGACCCACAGTTGATGTTATTTCAATTAAAAGCCTTCTGGAACAGGAAGGTTTTGACCTGGTGCCGAAATATCATCAGTGTCGGCGCCAGACGAATTTCAGTCGGTTAGAGAGGTGTGTTACCTAGTGACTGAACATGGTACTGCAGTCTACCAGCAGATTTTTTTTAAAATTATTATTTACAATTAATTGATCACTTTTTAAAAACCCTGAAAAGGGTCATCATAAATCAAAACTAACTTGACAGTAAATTACTACTACTATTACCACCATCATCATAATCATCAAATAACTTCAAGATGTCCATATTTTTTGTCCCACCAACATCCATGCCATGTTACTCGGAGCTATTGCAGAGAGACACAAACATAAATATGATTCCAATTCTTACTACTACCACTGTTGCTGTTTCTATTACTATTACTGTGTGTGGGGTGAACAAAAAGAAAGACAAAAGATCCTCATAACCCTGTTTCCTGAATAAATACAGAATATGAACAAGCCTGTAATCATTTGTGTCTGTAAATTATCAGAAGGTGGCATTCGCACATCTGATGTCAGTTGAGGGCTCTCATAGAAACAGTCTGTGGTGATTCCATCCACAAAAAGACCCAACACACAGTATCACTCAGGTCTAATATGAGCAACACAAAGTTTAGATAGCCCTGAGATGGCTAGGTACTTATCCTTCTATCACTCTTCTATTTCCACCTGCCCTGTAATGATGATGGGGCAGGTGACTCTTGGATTTTGTGGGTAAAATGCCACCTCCACCTTTTTGGAGTTGAGAGCCCACTCTTTATGTCCTGGTCCACAGCATGTTCCACAGGTGGAAGTAAAGGCAATGGATCAAATCCAGAGTTTAAGGAACTGCTGGAGTCTTCCTCAGGATTTCATTGATTTCATATGAACTGCCAGATAGCTCAGTGGTTTACGTCTCTGGCTGTGGAGCCGGAAGTTGCGAGTTTAATTCCCCACGAGATCTGATGATCCATAGGGTCCTTTCCAGCTCTGCAGTTCTAAAGATTATAGTGATGATTCAGGAAGCAATTCAGGAAAGAAATTGCTAATAAAACTAGTAGATACTAGGAAACATTGCCCTGAGCCACTAGCAGAATCTCAGGAAATGCAGTCAGGATGGGAATATTAGAATCTGCTTTTAAGCACTGGCACTTTGTTTGAAATACTTCAAAGCTAGCCAGTGGGGTCTCATTCCCAACTATGATATGGATTAATTAGAAAATCTGTGGAGAGAACATTACATCCATCCATATGGTTTGTTCCCCTAATTTGCAAATATTTCAGAAACATCCAGTTTGAAGTTATACCGTAACCTTGCAGTAACCGTTCAGTTTGTCCTGTGGTTTCATAGAAATTAACAAACAGGTCTGGAGGGTACTGGCAATCCGTTAAACATTCTTTCGCTACCAAATGCAAATATCTCTCTACAGAGCTGTTAATGGCTTTAATTATCAGGCTTCTGGCTCTTCGCAGCTATAGGCTATATGTAAAATGTGTCTAGGGAAAGAAAAGCCAACATCTGCCTTCACTGAAGACCACAGCTATACATTGAACATTATGGTTTTTCAGTGGAAATAGTGATAAAAAGCATATCTCAGGTTATTCTCTGATCAAATCCCACTCACTGTTTGAAAGGTCAGAGCAGCCAGTTTAGAAAATGTTTTTTCTTCTCTGTGTTAGTTATTCAGAAACTACAAATTGACATGAGTGGAGCGGAAACAAACTTGTCAAAATTTAGTAGCAGTTTTTATAATAATAACTGTGTGTCATCTAGTAAATCCTGACTTAGGTAAAGATAAAGGCTCCCCTTGACATTTAGTCCAGTCATGCCCGACTCTAGGGGCCGGTGCTCATCCCCGTTTCTAAGCCATAGAGCCAGCGTTTGTCTGAAGACAGTTTCCGTGGTCATGTGGCCAGCACGACTACACACGGAATGCTCTTACCTTCCCACCGAGGTGGTACCTATTTATCTACTTGCATTTTTATACGCTTTCGAACTGCTAGGTTGGCAGGAGCTGGGACAAAGCGACGGGAGCTCACTCTGTCGTGTGGATTTGATCTTATGACTGTGCGTCTTCTGACCTTGCAGCACAGAGGCTTCTGCGGTTTAACTTGCAGCGCCACCACGTCCTTTTACGGTGACTTACGGTGATGCTTTTCAGGGGTTTTCTGGGTGGAGAATACACATAAGTGGTTTACCGTTCTCTTCTTCTGACGGTATCTTGGGACTGTGCAGCTTACCCAAAGCCACACAGACTGATTCTTCTCTCTGGAGGCACAGTAAGGAGTCAAACTCCCAACCTCTGGCTTTGCAGCCAGAGACCTAACTCACTGAGCTATCCAGCTCAAAAATGCTGGGCATGAAATTTTCAATTTTTTATTTTAAACTCCAAAATAAAATAGAACAATCAAAATGTAAAAGGTTGCAACTGTTGGACATAGATCACTTTCTCCTGTGGGTCACAATCCTTTACTCAGTTGTGAAATTCACTCAGCTGTACAATAGAACCCCTTAAGCTTTCTGCATATTCAGACCTGGTCCCCTGTAAGGATGGGCTGAACCATTCTAACAAGGACGCCAGGTACATGATGTTTTTTAAAAGCAATCCCAACAGTTCCAGCAGGAGGCAGAAGTGTGGTATAAACTCCTGTGCAGCCGGCCTCCGATTTTAGCTTAAAGATCCCCTTGAGTAAGAAGCAAGCACTTTCATTCACATGGGAGCCATCCACTCCTCCGTCTACGATGTCTTATGCACTTCTGGATCCAACTGCTATACTTTAACTTTGGAATATCCACCTTGTCGCAATTACTGCTTTGAAAGAAGACTATACATATCAAAGCATGTACCAACAAATGACACAGCAGTGGTAGATCTTTGCTCAAGCGCTTACCAGTTATATGGGAGTTTTCCATCTCTCTCCAACGAAGCAAAATTCACAAAGGTTCCAACACCACATTCTCTGGTTTGGGGGAAGAACCAAAGTTATTGCTGTCAGATACAAAGCTAGATGTGCTACCTTATGGAATTAGGACAACAACAGTTACCTGAAGTTAATAAAACTGATAGCCAATAAGCAAATAAAAGCAATAGGAGAAATTTCTGAGTAAGATTTACTAGACCATTTCCCAATTTTGTCACAATCAGTAGAGTACAGGAAGAGGACCAATAGCCTTCCACATGTGATAGGACTACAACTCCCATTACCTATGCAGCCTGGGGCCACTGGGAGCTCAATCCAACAACACCTAGAGGGATACATGGTCCCCAACCCTGTTAAATATCAACAGCAAAATATATTCTGCTTTAAAGCACAAGCAAACCCAGCTAGACAGAAATGAGGGTCATGGAGCCCAGCCCCAGAAACATGATACATACCTGGCCTCCACAGGTCTAGAAACCTGAGAAGCAGTGTGGTAAGGACATTGGGACGAGGTCCCCACTGAATCCCAACATTTAGTAGGTGACCTCTGGCCAGTCTCTCTGTCAGCCTGATCTAATCCAACCCTCTTCCTCCACCACTTTTGAGGTGTTTAAAGGCAAGCAAGAGACAGGTCTGACCACAGCCTTGACTTAGGAATAAACAATTATGTGCCATTCTTTAGCTTCTACATCTCAAGCAAATCAGAGAGAACTATATGTTTATTGCCAGGTCACGAAACATGAAAGCACATAGGTTGCACTTGGAGAACAGCTCTAAATAAGAGCAAGGCGTAATACAATTTAAAGGAGCAATCATACAGCAAGTGTGGACATTTCACCTGGAATTTGTAATATACATCAAATACATCCTACTTGGTAAAATTCCATGTCTGCCAGAGACCCAATTAACACTTATTTTTAATCTTCAAAGAGATGCTTTGAAATGCAATTACATACTTCTCTCACTTTGAAAGGAAAGAGGGCAAGCATTTTCTTCCTAGCGAGCTTCGGATTTGTAAGGTAATAAGGAGATTTAATTAAACAGGCCTTTCGGAGATGGAGAATATATGGCCGTCCAGACACTGTGCGACTGCGACTCCCATCATTCTTCACCACTGGCTAGGCCTGATGGGAGCTGAAGTTCAACTGCATCAGGAAGGCCACATATCTCCCCCAGTCCTGAGTAACACTATGATTTCTTAAGCTTGATAGGTACTCAAGATGAGTGACCTTGTTTAGTTTGGCAACTGGAATGACAAAGGGCATGATCCTGGAAGGCACTGACTATTATGCAAACAAGTTTACCAGAGGCAGGTCATTGCTCAACTGGCTAATTCATTTAGATATATACAAATAAGGAAAACTACAAATTGATTTGTCATTAAGGGGAACTGTTTGAGAAGAGCTGGTTTAGAAGAAGCAGCGCCTGTTGTGGTGGTTCTTAGGTGCAATCAAGACAGAATTGATTAATAAAGCAATGCCTGCTGCTTATATATTGCCTCATAATGCTTAAAGCACTCTATGGGAGGCTTACAATTTAATTATGCAGGCTACACATTGCAACCGCCACCCCCGTGAGCTGGGTACTCAATTTAGTGACTGCTGAAGGGTGGTAGGCTGAGTCCACCTCGAGCCAACTGCCTGAATCCATCTGGATCAAACTCAGGTTGTGAGCAGTACTGCAGTTTAACCACTCTGCCACGAGGCTCCTTCTTATAGCAACGTAATAGGGCTTTCGGTGTAAATGAGATATTTAAGGAGTGGCTTTACCAGTTCCACATCCCCATTGAGTTTCCATGTCTGAGTGGGGATCTGAAGCCAGGCTTCCTGAATCTTTGTCACTGTATCCACTGCACCATACTAAGTATCAGTGGCACCTCCATCCCTTAAAGCCAGGGCTTATCGGTCAGTGAGTGGTACAGGGACCACCAGCAGGACATACACACAGTCTAGGTATGACACAGAGTTTTAATAACCATGACTAAGAATTCACCCTCTCAGATTCCCCACATCCTCCTGCAAGAGTGTGCAATCTGTGTGCAATCTTCAGACATGTTAGTAGTAACTTTGGACACTCACATGCTCCCGTTAACAAAAGCAAAAGGTGTGTCTGCTCCCTGGGCCTGGTGCTCATTTTCCAGCTTGCAGCTGCTCAAGTTAGATATTGTCCCATCCATGCAACGGAGCTTCCATTTGTGAAAAGAGGAAGGCGAGGGAGTGCCATTGCCTATGCAATGGAGCATTGTGTATGCCATAAAAACAGAATTCTGCCTTGATGTTTCTCCTAATCACTCATTCGCACTGCCCATGAACTTAATGGAAATGATAGATGTGTCAACAGAATAACTGGAAACACAGGAAAAGAAGGGGTTGTTTCCTTTAGGGGAAGTCTCTTTGATAGACTTAGTGGCTGGATGTAAGATATCAGAGGTTGAAAATAGGGATTGCCAGGAACCACTGAACAGGTGGTTTGTGCTGGTTTGTACTTTGGCTCTCCTCTGGCAAGCGCCCACTCAGTGCACTGGGGAGGCAGGGCAGGGAAGCCAGGGTGATGCCTCTGAGTGGCTGCCCGCCAGAGGAGGTGGAGCTGGGAAATCCCGAACACCGGTTCAGCCGAAGAACAAACTGGCACAAACTGCTGTAACAGCAGTCCGTGCCTATCTCTAGTTGAGAATCGTTGTCTTACGCGATGTTTTGGGTTCTTTAGAACACAGGACACTTAAGATTGCATCCCACCAATGCACATAATTGATCCCTCCTTCTCTTCCCCACGTTTCCCTAGCACTACAAAGCAAGCTAGAATACCTGGCCATTTGTAGGTGTTTCCTGCGAAGGACAACTAAGGTTACAAGCAGCAACCCTATCAGCAGAATGCTCAGAATGGCTAGGACGGAGATCACCACCACGTTGGGATTCATCTCGGTAACTGCAGAGAAAGAAAGACTGTAGGTTAATGAATACACGGGACACCAGTATGGTGATCATTTGAGTTAGAATCATATTCGGATCATGCAACATAAACTGACAATCATGTGCATAATTTCTGCAGCCGTTTACTGCATGCTCGGTCATCTATGTGTCGTGTGCTCTATCCTATACCTTTGCACGCCAGACAGTAAGCAAAAACATACTTTTCCTTGTGTGTACAAAATTTCAAAATACGATTTTAGCCAAAAGTGACTAACACAGAGTATGTGAAGCTGCTTTTAAAAAAATAATGTGTTACAACTCTAATTGTTAGACTGTCTTAAGAAAGTGACTTGTTGCTATTAAAAAAGCAATCTGTGAGATTATTCACTAGCTTTCACGATTTTCATGATTTCCCGGCCAAGCATTTTTAGCTGCAAAATGGAAATGAAAAAGCTAAGGAGGAAATATGACTAATTCCATGAAAGACGTGATGAGCCAGTAGGATTTTACTTTCCAAGAGGAAAGTCAAAATGCCCATATTTTTAAAAAACATAATAAATTACAGGTAACGATACCTGCAATGTGTTACTTCCAGGCTCTGAATTTTTGTTAATTTTTACAAACGATCATTCCTTTCTCTGAGAGTGGCTTTACATTTGAGGTCAGGCATCCTCCACATCAGCATAACATCAAAAATCTTCTAGCAAGGGTGACCTATCCCTCCCCTTGCAGCTTGTAAGGCAGGAAGGAGACAGGAAAGACAGAGAGAGGGGGTGGTGGCATAAAGACAAAAAGGGAGAGGAAAAGACAGGAGGACGCATTTCCCATCGCCTATGCTAAGTGCACATATGAGGGTATTTCTACAATGCAAGGCACACCTCTGTGCCATGCCCATAAGTCCCTATCAGAGGCTGATGTCATCATAGACTGTCTATACGGTGTTAGCGATAAGGCTAATGTTTGGATTCCATTTTTACAATGACTTTTCCACGTACAAATACAGATGTGAAAAGAAAATAATTGTTCAGCTATGTTCTACAGAGAACAGGTGCTTTTGTGTGAAAGGTAATCTCAAAAACTATTGGAAAGCAGTTATTTAAGGATGCTATTGAGGGGAAAAAACAAACGACACACATGAGTTCAGATTCTTGGGTCTACTTCTCAGCTGCCTCAGAAATTGGCACTGATGCAGGATCAGTCACAAATTTCCAAAGTCACACCAAGATCTAGCATGATCTAGCATGAGGGCAAAGTCTGACCATACTTTAAAGAGATAGAAAAGTTATGCCTTAAAAAAAACAATGTTTGCTCTAAAGTAACCATAGAGCCCCCCATCTTAAATGTCCTAGTTCCCAAATCCACTGCAGTTCTGATATGCATTCCATTACACTGTTCCCATCCCAGCAACTTATATTTCAAAATACTAATCCATCTGCTTTAAGAACACTCTGCAAAACACCTGAACATTTCATTTGAAACTGCTCCCATTAATTTTAAAATGGCATCAGTGTATTTTTTCAGTGATTAGTCACTGTTTTGCCACACCATGGACAAAGCTATGCTTGAAATTAGACTTGGAAAGAGAAAGCAATAAGTTGTTTTTCAGAAGTCGAGAAAAAGGGGAAACCAGAATGCTTTTTCCCCTGTTTTGAAAAAGAACAATGGTGCATTTAGGAAATGATAGACTCTCAGTTTAAGCACTGTATTGCCCAACTCTCTCTTCTTGATGGGAAACAATATGATTTCACTTAGTTTTGCAAGCTAGTTTTGCTCCATCAGGAAGTTCTCCTGCTTATACTTGCTGAGTAGGGGGCAAGATTTCTAATGCAAAGTCCTGCTCTAACAGCACCATTGGAAAGGTGGGCTCATAACGGGTGTATCTCCCTTGTATGAGCCTACCCAGGTATTAAGATCATCAGAGGAGACCTTTCTTTTGATCCCACTATCCTCCCAAGCACATTTGGTGGGGACACGAGGGAGGCCTTTCTTTGTAACTGCCCCAAGACTTTGAAAATCCCTCCCATGGGAGGCCAGGCTGGCCCATCTTTGCTTCCTTCTACAAGAAGACAAAACATCTTTAGGTAGGTTTTCCTTTAAATGACGAGAGTATTTTTTTTTAAAAGGGAGAATTTTATCATGTGTTTTACCTGTGTTTTTAATATAGTTCTTATTCAGAATTTTAATATGATATGGGTTTAATTTAAAAAAAAACATTGTAATCGTTTATTCTTTGGCTTGTAATTTTTTTAGGCACCGTATAAATATTTTAAACAAAATAAATAATAAAGGAACTGAGAAATCCATGGACAATTAGAAGACTCCAACTCACCCATGGTGGAGACAGCAATGAAGGTCGGAACGCTGGGGCTGTCGTGACTAAAGCTGACCACGCTGCAGTTGTAAGATGTGGCAGGCAGAAGACTGGAGATTGTCACTACGTGTGAAGAAACAGTAACAGGTTCCTGTATGTGTGGAGAGGAAAAGGAATGTGCGGTTAGTGATCCATTGCTCATCCCTCAGTCTGAGCTCAAACACTGAATTTTAGGCCCCAGCTGTTGACACATTGGGCTTGTGAGTTCATCCTTAGTTGTGTGTCACGCGTGCATCAGGAATCTGCCACTTCAATGTCAGTTTGCCCTCAAACTGCTTTCGCAACCTCTGCGATGCTGCCCTGCATGTGACTCAAGATGCCCACAACCTAGTGAAGCAACAAGAGGGCCATTTCATCACATGTCTCTTGTGGGTACAACGAGAGGAAACCCACACCCAAACATTTGCAGACTACATACAAATTGCCTCCCTTTTCCCAAACAGTAAAAAAGCAAATTGATTTGCTTGAAACGTAGTGCTGGAGGAGAGCTTTAAGAAGGCAAGACGGTGGACTTGCTCAGAAAACCAAACAAGTGGGTCCTAGATCAGATCAAGCCTGAACTATTATCTGGAGGCCAGAATGCTGAAACTGATGCCATCCTACTTTGGGCAGTTCATGAGAAGGTGGGATTCTTTGGAAAAGTCAGTAATGCTGGGAAGGGTGCAAGGCAGAAGAAAAAGAGGAAGATCAAACATGAGATGGACTGATTTCCAGAAGCTTGGGTTTGCAAGACCTGAGAAGAGCTGTTGAGGACAGGAATCTTGGAGATCGCTCATTCACACATATGAGCTAAAAGAACTGCAGATGGATAAACCACAAGAAGTGTCCTAGGCCTGGATGAAGCCAGAGCATGCAGATGGAAGAACCAACCTTAGTCTCCACCTCTCTCTCTCTCTTTTTTAAAGCATCAAGTCACTAAGAAGGGTCTGGCAGTCCCTGGGCATGTTACAACGGAAGTGAAAGCTCACGATACATTATGTAACGGGAAAGAAACCTCAGTGAGAGCAGCAATACAATGGGTGAGAAGACATTTTTATGCTTGGCTTCCTTTTAGACCGCGTCTGAGGTAATATTCAGAAGCCATTTACAATCATAAATAATAATACAACAAGCTATGCATTTCAATAAACTCCATTATGAAACCCCAGTTAACCTTTGAACAGAATACAGTGGGGTCTTGACTTGAGAACTTAATCCGTATTGGAAGGCGATTCTCAAGTCAAAAAGTCTGTAAGTCAAGCCGTCTGTAAGTCAAGGGTCCACTGTACAAGATAAATTCTATAACAATATTTCCAGTTCAGAGCAGGTAGGGGTGTTATTCTGAAGGAGCCAAATGTCAAAGAGTCTTATGATGTCTTAAAGACTAATAAGCTTTATTTAACAGAAATTTTGTTGGACTACAACTATCAATGCTTAAATTAAAATAATGTTTACCATCTCTAACATGCCATAAGATGCTTTGTCATTAAAAACTCACATGAAAAATGCCACATGTTTAGGTCTAAGGGATACTTTCTACACAGTGAACTTCTTAACAGACTGAAGTAATCAGATTACACTCCACTACAAACTGCCAGAGTTAAGGTTAATTAGAATGAAGGCTCCTTTCAGTTATGGCTCAACCATCTCAGATCTCAACCATCCAGAGTAGATACAACAGGGGATGGCTTAAAACAGGTAAAAGAGCAAATGCATACCTTGATCTTTTTGTCTTGGCCCGTGCCAGCCTGCTGGCAGAAGACTTCGAAGAAATCAGCAACTCCCTCTTCCACCCACAGAAGAGTCACTGATGTTTGAGTCTTGTTCACAGCAAAAAGCGATCGTGGGGGAGCTGGGTCTGGGGGTAAGAGAAAAGGCCTGTTAAAAACATTTTAGGGGCCTTCTGTGTCCAACAGAAAAGCGTGAAAGACAAAATTAGCTGAAGAGTCAAGAGTCTGCACTCCCTTTCTACTGAGATGTTTTCACTCTTCCCAGAGCTGATTCCAGAACTGAAACCAGCCAACAAAAAGGGAGGATATTAAAACAGGAAGATGTTTCTAAGTAGTAGATTCTTTTTGCCTTTTCTACTTCAACGTTCAGTGATTACTGCACTTCCTTTTTCAGTGAAGTCTTTGTGATGGCATTTGTATGTGCTTTTGCAAAGATGCATTATATTTGCACAATTTCCATCAAAGCATCCTTACACCAACTGCTAGAAAGAGTAGCTGATGACTCCTAGCTGGAAGAGACAAACACATATTCTTATCATCTTATCTAGGCTGGACCCCAAATTACTGTCAATCTGAGGTGGTTGAAGCCCTGAATCATATTCATGGGAGGTGAGGTGAAATACAACAGCCTCTATCTATGCAAAGCAAAGCAAGCTTCCGAAACAAAGAATTGTTTCCCAAGCATGCATGTTCGTTAGTTTTGGCTTGCAAATTTGGAGATGACCATTTTATATCTCCAATTTATATCCATCTTCCTTGAAGACAGTTATTTTAATAGGTTTCTCATATGCAATATGTAGGCTAAAATCCAACAGTAAATTGCAGCTGGCGTAGACCTAGTAACCAGTAGGGATTTGGTGGGCCGACTCCTCCATAAGTTCCATTCCATTGGTTCAATGGGCCTGCTTTAGTTGCAACTTATAACTGGATTCCATCCAAATGGTAAAGGTCTAATGGTGGCATCTAGTAGACCTGCGTCATGCGCTCTGAGCCTTCGGCCAATTCTCAACTCATTTCTTTCACTTGTTAGAATTAGTAGCTAACATTCTTGGGCACCTGCCAAAGCTTATATCGCAGCAGAAAGCCTATCAAGCCGTTCTTAAGTCAAGACCCCACTGTATCACAGCAGAAAGCCTGCTACCTCCACGTTTTCATTTTATCCATCAACTTTGCTTCACATCCATACAGAGTGGTTCTCTCCCTCCCTTTTATATAGTGCATGTGCATTACAGGATTAGTACAATTGCTAGTTCCAACTACATTAAATCTTGGAAAGAACTGGATTTGCATAAGCCACTCTTAAGTCAAGACCCCACTGTATCACAGCAGAAAGCCTGCTACCTCCACGTTTTCATTTTATCCATCAACTTTGCTTCACATCCATACAGAGTGGTTCTCTCCCTCCCTTTTATATAGTGCATGTGCATTACAGGATTAGTACAATTGCTAGTTCCAACTACATTAAATCTTGGAAAGAACTGGATTTGCATAAGCCACTTGTACAAGCCTCATTGATTCAACTGGTCTACTTCAGCTAGGGACTATCAAGTGGATCGAGAACTTGGAAACAGCTTGTTGGAAAATTCTGGAAGCTGTAGTCCAGAAGATTAGCATTTCCGACCCCCAACAGGATTGTACCCATAATATTCATTTTTACTTTTTTCCCTAAAAGATATTTCCCCCTTTGGTCAGCTGGTACACCTTGCAAAAAGCTTGAAACCAGTCCCTGATTGTTTCACCAAACTAAGAGCTCATGCTACGTGTCTTTCAGCTGCCACCAGTTGATTACATCAACATTAAATATTATTAATAATAGAGATCCAGGCCATGTGTCATTTTAAATAGAACCAAATAGAAATTGTTTATTGTTACAGATGATGATAGCTCAGGCAATTTAACAAACATCCTCCTTCATCCACTCTCAACCATCACTCCCTTGCCCAAACTCCATAAACGCTCAATCTCCCTAACTAGCTCCCCCTCCTCCTGCTGAATCTCTTATATCTCATGACTCCGCCCCTCCAGCACTCCCATTGGTCTATGCAGATCTCATATTAATATTCATTACCTGGGCGGATGCCAGACAGAGATTTCCAAACTAGGAGAAGAATCCTTCCTGAAAACCAGAAGAGCTATTCCTGCCAACCTGTGCTAGCTGGACCAATGGTCTATAAGCCAACTTCCTATGTTCTTCCTTGTTTGACCACTTTGTTTACTTTTATTCCATTTTCAGGTGTGGTTCTGAACACATCGAATTTCTTGAACTTAAAAAACTCTCATCACTTTTCACTATCTGCCATTATTGCCACATCAGCAAAACACTCATTTCATTTCCATTTTCATGATTGCAACCCTAAATTTAGCTCCCTGCATTTTGCATAATCATGTATTGGCTTAAATCCAGCAGCTGCTCTCAAATAAGTAGACTTGTTGAACGAACTGTTGACTGGTAATTCAGTCACCACTTATGTGACTCCTGCTGATTCCATGGGTCTAGCCCAGCTGGTATGAGGCTATTATTCTTTAGCCTAAATAAATCTGTTCTTGCTTTATGAAACAGAGTTAAGAAATGTTCCTCACAATTAAGGGTACCCGGTATTTTTTAAGGCCATACTTAGACCTGCTGGGTAGCTCTGTGGTTTAGGTACACACAGGCTGGGAGTTCGATTCCCCACTGTTCTGCCTTGATAAGGGCTGGACTCGATGATCCACTTCCAACTCTGTTCTAAGATGACTGTGATGATTACGCCTCAAAAAGGAATCCTTTAAAATTTCTACTACCTTTTCATTTTCTGTCAGAATCTGAGGTCCTAGGGCAGCTTTTCTTGCTCACTGTGGCTTTTGAAACCAAAGTTATCTTCACTTATTTGTTCATATAGTTTAAACGTCCTTCTTTCTTTAAGGGTGCAGTACAAATCCAACTACAGTCATGCGCCGGTTAACCATTATCCCGCATTACGACGAATCCGCTTCACGACAATGTTTTTGCGATTGCAATTGCGATCACAAAACGATGGTCTAAATGGGTTTTTTCGCTTTGCAAAGATCGGTTCCCTGCTTCGGGAACCGATTCTTCGCATTACGACGATCAAAACAGCTGATCGTTGGGTTTTCAAAATGGCCACCGGGTGCTCAAAATGACTCCCCGCCGTGCTTAGGGATGGATTCCTCACTTTACAGGCACCAAAAATGGCCGTCCTATGGAAGATCTTCGCTGGACAGTGAGTTTTTAGCCCATTGGAATGCATTAACCGGGTTTTAATGCGTTTCAATGTTTTTTTTAAATTTCGCTTTACGACGTTTTCGCTCTGCAGCGATTTTGCTGGAACTAATTAACATCATTAAGCGAGGCACCACTGTATATGGATATCAGGATAACTTTCTATTGCCTAGCTATCTCTCCTGCCATGCATTTTCTCATTTTATTTTTATTTTTGTTTTGAATTTTTTAAAAAAACTTTTTTTGAAAATATATGAAAAAACACATGTTTTCAGACAAATTCACATTTACACAACTGTTGGGGAGGGTCTAAGAACGCCTCTTGCTCTTTTCCAAAGAGTTTGGCTCTTCAGGTACCAGTTTCATCCTGTCCCATAGCCTTAATGGGACACCATTTGTTCACTTTTCCTGCTTCTGGATGTCACAAGTTTGTGCCAACGCACATACAAGTTCACCTGGTGATGACTCACCTCTAAAGAGAAGTACTGTACTTACCAACTTTCACAAGCCGAAGAGCGGAGGTGTTGCTGCCCGTTTCGGTGCAAGCGGTTACTGAAAGATTATATATATCCCCCGGAGGCAAATTGAGCATGGCAGTCATAACATTCCGTGTCACCTAAAACAAGGGGTGGGTTAAATACTTCCTGTACATGAGACATCTCCATAAAATGAAGAAGCAGAATTGTTTTGAGCATTATAAAGCAAGTAGAGGTAGGTTCCACAGAACTAGTCTTCTGTCTCTATCTAGAAACAGAAATGGGAAAAGTTCCCTTTTTTTCAGCTGGCCAAGGTATTCTAGGAAGGAACTTCCCCATCTCTGTTTAAAATATCTGAAGCCACTCAAACTCCACCATCCTTCTAGATCAGTTGTCAACCTTTGGTCCTTCAGATGGTTTGTCTCTTAACTCCTAGAAACTTCAGTCAGCATGATCAACAGCCAGGGATGTTGGGAGCTGATGCTGAAAACATCTGGAGGACCAATGGGTACTCAAGATAATGGAGCCATTTTATCCACGGGGGTTCTCCGGCACTGGAGGTCTTCAAGCAGAGGCTATATCTTATTTATTTGGCATGCTTTAGCTCTTGAATAAAACAGGAGATGGTGCTAAATGGCTCACAAGCCTGGCCCAACCCCACAATTGCTCTTTAAGACATTGCATCAAAATTCTGCTCATCATCAACTTGGTACTGCTCTTACTTTGTAGTCTTGGTGTTTTTCATTATTATGAGAATCTATATGGACTGAAAACTGGGTGTTTTTATTTTCCGAATTGCCTCCTACAACCTGATGCTCTAACATTGCCATTTAAATGGATCAAAATAAGGATGAAACAGAGATGGTGAATAGGAAGTAGCAGGAATGAGTGACATATTGCCACACTTGCTTGTAAAATATTTACTAGGGAAAAACAAAGAAGAAACCGGATCTCTACTGCATTGTTGTGATCAAGCATCAGGGTTTTCCTTTTGTTTTTACGTGAACATTTCTTTCACTGGATGCAGCATTCAAAGGAAGCACAAGGTGTTCAGGCTTACACTCTTCTTTATCTTTTTCCTTCCTTCTGCAACAACCATCCAGTGCAGCATTCGAGAATGGGAAAGGTCTGTGTTGTCGTCACCGTAAATCCAGCTGACATAGAGAAGGTTGTTGAAATATTCAACCGAAGTGATTTCAGGGGATACTGGAGCTACCAGAGAGAACAAACAACCCCATCACAATCATCATTATCATCAACAACAGAGAGAGGCAGCTGCCTCAGGCATAGTGGCATTGAATTAAGTTATTCATTGTTCTAAGTGCTGCAATGATTACTACCACGGATGAGGAAGATGGGACTTGTCTACCTCATATACCAAAATAAATTCAGTTTCCATATTGTATTCCTTAATTTAAGTGGGGTGGGCTGTGCCACTTCTGGAGGAAGAGATTTTCAGATTTGAGGCTAAGCTAGTCCTAGCTCTCCCCCAACTTCCTGCTCAGAACGAAAGTTCCCAGCTAGCATAAGGGCAAGAACAGAAAGCTCAGAGAGAGCTAAGCCTAGCTAAGTCTCAAAACCTTCTAGCTGAGGCCTTTTTCTCCCACACAAGCCACATTTGGGTGTCTGTAAGCCGTCAGTCAAATAGAACTCACAGAAATGAACATTATGGGACTTAATAGTCCTAAAAATCCTATCCCAATCGTCTGCTGCTCCAAATTGAGCAACAAAGTGTTTTGGAACAGCCCTGCCATTGCTGCTCCAACATCCATTGCCCAAGATAGCCACCTTGCTCTAGCCAATAGCAGAGCTGGCTTTGTGAGTTTCATCTCTGTACGAAGGAAGGCCCTGGAAAGACTTGGCAAAGCATTTCTGTTCACCTCTATTTGAACGCAAAGCCTTGTATTAAAGGATAAACCTCAACACACTTCTTGTCGAGCATCCATCAAATCTGGGTTTACCTGTTATGAAGCTGATGGTGGAACTGTCACAACAGCTGAGTTCAGGGTCTCCCCAGGTCACCATGGTAACACGAAAGTTATAATACCAGGCAGGTAGCAGGCTGCCTATTCTCTGAAGAGGTGTAAACAAGAAGAAGCATAGAGGTTGGGTGAGGAAGGAAGGAAGGAAGTGTTAGTGCATGAAAAAAACGGGATTTGACAATGTTGTTAAGACCATAACCACGGTAAACAAACAAGCATCCCTTAATGGCCTTCTTCCTCTTTCTTCTTTGCAGATCAACCGATGGAGATTTCTGATAGCTAATCAACAATACAATCTGGAGTAATCATCAAAATTCTGGACTGTGAGCAGAGAGGCCTGAATCTCTGAGACATGAAACATCCTGGATGACCTTGGGACAATATATATATTTAAAAGCCTGGTCTACCTCACGTGCTTATTGTGAAGATAGTGGAGAAGAAAGAACCATGTACACCACCCAGAGTTCATTGGAGGAAAGGTAGGGCAGAAATGGAATAACTTACTAGCCACCTAATGCATCCAAACCAGAAATAAGATAAAAATAAAATAAGAGGGACAAGAATATCAGTAGATATTTTTTTTTAAAAAAATATATATCTGTAGAAGTATTTCAGTGAAGTAGTCTGGGCATGACTGTACCCAATATTTACCACAGATGACGTCAAAGAGACAGTTGCTGCTATTTCATAGAACGTCGTCCACTCTGAAGTCATTGTTGAGGGATTGAAATAAAACATTTCTACAATGTATTTGCGGAAGACACCAAGGAAAGGCCTGTTCCAGCTGAGAACTACAGCAGTGGGCCCCAAGGGATACAGAGTTAAATCCTTTATTCCTGTTGGCACTATAAAACAGAAATTAAAAGATATTTGTATGTCTTACAGTCAGTGGCAAAGATAGGTTATATGCATGTGCGCACATATATGTATTCTAGAGCAGCCATTCTCAACAGTGGTATATAACTCCTTCGGGTCCCAGGCCAGGGTAGATTTAATTTACTAGTCAGTAAGACTCAATTTAAATCATGATTTTTAAATGTAAAGACTAATTCTTGCTGGTACTTATAATCTTTAATATTTGCAACCGGACAAAAATTTCATATTTAGAATAATAACCTGCCAGATTAGCAAAACAGCTATATCAGAACTGATTTTAGTTTAATACATTAATCACACCCATTTGGAGAACTACTTAAATTGTTTTATTTAACTAATACAATAATACTATATACCCTGTTTCCCTGAAAATAAGACCTAACCTGATGATAAGCCTTAGTAGGATTTTTCAGGATGCTCGTAATACAAGTCCTACCCGAAAAAAAAAGCCCCAGTTAAGTGAAACCCTGCCCTCCACCCTTGTGCAGCAAGCAGAAGAAGATATGGCTGTATTTGAATAAATGTAGTTTGTTGTACATGGAAAAAATAAAACATCCCCTGAAAAATAAGGCCTAATGCATTTTTTGGAGTAAAAATTAATATAAGACTGTCTTATTTTGGGGAAAACACGGTAGCTTACTTATTCTTGTATTTGCTTAAATGTCAATGTTTATTAAATGAAGTGGTTAAACAAAATGTCTTTAAAAAAACAAAAAAAACCCCTTCAAGTTATGTGCACAAAGATCCCAAGGTTTGTAAACTGCTCAGAAGGTTTCGTTTTCATTTCTACTGCGTGGCCCTCCCTCCTCACAGCCTGATACAGATATACAGTGGTGCCTCGAATAGCGATCGATTCGTTTAGCGACGAAATCGCTTTGCGATGAACATTTTGCGATGCTCCCTATGGGGTATTTTCACTTTGCGATGACCGGTCATCGCAAAGCAACCATTTTCGCACAGCTGGTTTCAAAATGGCCTCAAAATGGCCTCAAAAAAACATGGCCGCCCGCTGTTTTCTGGGACGGATTCCTCGCTTAAGAGGCACCAGAAATGGCCGCGCTATGGAGGATCTTCACTGAACGGTGAGTTTTAAGCCCATAGGAATGCATTAATCACATTTTAATGCATTTCTATGGGCTTTTTTATTTCGCATTGCGACGTTTTCGTTCAACAGCGATTTCGCTGGAACAAATTAACGTCGCAATACGAGGCACCACTGTATTTCACTCCAAGCAATTTTCAGACCCAGCATTTAAGGTAATGTTCATTGTACATTGACTTCAATGTGTTCATTTTACATTGACTCGAAGAACAAAAATGGGATTAAAGTCTTTTCCTCAACGGTTTATACTATACCGTTTTTACTGTGAAAAAGTAGGTTGCCTGAGCTTGAATAACTTGGATTCATTTAATTAGTTTACAAAAAAAAATGTAAATATTGCATGAATATACAGCCTCATGCTACGTAACTGAGCTCTTTCATGCTGAATAACCTTTTAACTATAATGTATCTTATACGAAAACTACCTTTAGATAGATTTTTTTCATGCGAAAGCATTTCATTAAAATAAATTTAGTTTAAATAAAAAATCTGATTTAAATTTTAAAAATCCAAGTTAATTTTTTTAAAAATCTGATTTTTAATTTAAAAACTATTGATTTTAATTCACCCAGGCCCTGGCACATTTGAAGAGGGCCACAGACTTGAAATAACTTTTCTAAGGTTTGTTATGTGACTTGTACAGTCCTGATTTGCCCTAAGTGGTGCCTCGTTTTACGAACGCCTCGATTAACATAATTTTTGGTTTACAAATGAAAATCCATTGAAAATAATGCCTTGGTTTATGAATTTTTTTCGCAATACAAAGCAAGTTTCCCCAGGATGCATTGCGCCTGGGAGGTATATAGGACTGGGTGCATCGGTTCCTATGGGAAACCGTGTTTCGGTCAGCGAATTTTTCCTTTCCCCAGGATGCATTGCACCTGGGAGGTATATAGGACTGCCCCCGTTCATGGGTTCCTATGGGAAACCGTGTTTCGGTCTGCAAATTTTTCCCAATACGAAATGTCCAAGAGAATGCATTAAATTCATAATGGCCAAAAAAAAGGTGGGGATTGGCTGTTCCAGAGCTAATGAACCACCATACATACGTCCTCAGCACATGGTACATGCAGTGCTCCATGCTCCAATGATTTATTTGCTTTTTTATTTATAGCGTACAGTATTGCATGCATTTATCATGTGTCAGCCTACCAAATTTTCTACATACTGTTTCAACCATAAAGGAGACACTGGCAACACTTCTTCACTGTTCTAATTATGAATCAGACCTGCCCCCACCCCTAGATTGTAACTCCTTTTTGCATGTCATGTTCCCGCATAGGAACACAACTTGTGTTCCTATGCGGTCTTGAGACCAGCTAGATTGTAACTCCTTTTTGCATGTCATGTTCCCGCATAGGAACACAACTTGTGGATAGATATTAGTGCTGGGATCACAGCAGATGTACTGGATGAGCAAGGAGATAAAGCATGCCCTTTGGTCTTGCTCCTCACTATGCTGCGCAGAACGATTGTTCTACACCTTCTGATCCAGTCCCCCTGAAAAGCCAGACAGAAAATGCTGAACTCAATGAATGGTCTCGAAGCAATGGTTGGCAACATGCAGGCTACATGTGCCTCCCAGAACCCAAATACGCACCCCAGCACCCTTGGATCCAGCTAGTACACCTGCAGTACACCAAGACTTTTACACACTTTTAAAAAAATAACACACACACCCCCCACAAAAAAAAGAACAGCTTGGAAATTTTTCTTGTACTCTTTAGGGGGCACTTTGGCCATTTTTGAGCTCTTGCAACATTTCCGACCCTCATACCTCGATTTTTTAATTTTAAACAAATGGCCACTAGAGGGTGTAAGGGAGCTTTTACAATGAAAAAAAGGTTTGTAAAAAGAAAAATCATAAGGTGGCGGTCTGGACAGACCCTCCAAATTCCAGGGATGGGTGGGTGCAGCCTCTGGGCTTCTGGAGATTGGCTCTCCCATCCTAAAAGGCCCCAATGACTTTCTAAGCATTACGCATTTTTCACTCCTGCTCCCCAAACCAAAAAGTATTTCTTTCACGCACAAAAAACAAAGTAAGCAGGTTACCTATGGCAAATGTAACAGGATCAGAAGGCGGGCCAACCAGCGGTCCCTTCCGTAAGTAAACCACCACTTGGTACTGTGCGCCAGGAACCAGGTTTTCAATAAAGCTGCTGCTTGTGTTCACCTAGAAAAATTGAGACAGAGCACGGATAAGGAACATATCCTGAAGGAAGAGAAGTTAAACTCATCAAAAACAATGCATTCATGATTTGTAGCTACCCACAAACACCCATCCACCCCCGAGCCCCTGGAAAAATGAACCATTTCCTGGATTAATTTTTCCGGTTTGTGCCTACAGCCTCCATCCCCTCTGCCACCCTCCCACCTTACTTCTCCTGTCATGTCCCTATCCTCTGCCACCTCCTCTGCCACTGCCATCTTGAGAGACAGCCAGCCTGGCTCCTGGAAGCTGGGCCACTGTCCCGGAAGATGGCAGCAGAGGAGGAGAAATAGGTGGAGGTGGCAGGAAGGTGATGGGAACAGCGAGAAGTGGGCAGGCGAGCATCTATTTTGTCGAAGCAAAATGAAGTGCCAAGCAGGAGAAAAAAAAGTCTGGCTCTTTGTTTTGTTTCAGCAAAATGGCTTGCATGAACTGAACCCGTTTTTTTCTGTCGAAGCAAAATGAAGTGCCAAGCAGGAAAAAAAAAGTCCACCTCTTTGTTTTGTTTCGGCAAAATGGCTTGCATGAACTGAACCAGTTTTTTTTTTTCATTTCATAGCTTGGTTTATGCCCATCTCTATTTACAATCCGAAGAAACCTGTCTTCTCAGAAGTAATTTCCATTGCATTCAACAGGATTTGCTGACTAAAATAGTTGCTTAGGGTTGCAGCCTTCAAATCCTGTGCATGTAAACGCAGAAGAAACATCCCATTGTGTTCAGTGTTGCGTACTTGGAAAAACACCTCCCTAATAAACAGCCTCTTATTTTGAAATCTGTGTGCAGAAGGCGCCATTGATGTGTCCGTAAAATACCATATTGGTTGAGTTCAAACAGGGCAACTAATGGAGCTGCCTTCACCCCTTCTTTTCCTTCCATCCACTGTTAAGAAATCACGATTCATTTCACCTTATTTATTGATTAAAGATATTGAAACTTCCCTTTACTTTAAATGGATTCCAAGGTGGTGAACAATATCAAAAGGACACTGCAGTGGGTGGAATCCCTGACATAATTGTGCTCGGTGCACTGAATGCAATGGAACTGACAAACGGAGGTCCTATTGGTCTTGCTCTACTTGGAGCATGACTAAGGCAGGATCAGACCCAACCAAAGCAACATAGCAGAAACCATATCTTACTCTCACCTCAGTGCAGTAATGTTTTTCAAGCCGCTGGCTCTCTTTCTGTTTCTGGCATGTCAAAGATACTATGGATATAATGCTATCGTTGCTGCTGGTCTCCTGCAAAGTCGTCCAGGATATTGAGGATGTGGTAGAGCTTAGCACCGTGGCTATCACATTTTGAGGCTTCTCGGTCAGTTCTTCTATCAGTTCCCCTGTAGGACCTAAAATATCACCAGAAACAAAATGGCAGCTCCCTTTCAAACCCTGGTCTTTCCCTCTGACTGAGGCTGAAAATCATATCAGAGGAGATTCAGGCTATGGGCTATGGCCTGAATTTAATTGCTAGTCATAACGAGAGTAGTCCCATTCAGTAAATAGGATGTGTGCATGTGTAACTGATCTTCTCCAGTTGGGCCTGACACCTAGGCCTATGCCAGCCCCTTAGTTCCATTCCATACAATCATTAATTAAGTAGGTACTTTGCCATGGGTAGGAGGAAGTGTGTTAAATCTAATCTCTCTGTTTCCAGTTTTATCACTCACCTAGGCATCTGGCAGCAGACCCAGAGGCTGGAAGAGTGATTCCCTCTGTGGCCATGGGCAAGCTGTAGAGTTCCAGGGCACCCCCCAGCAGAAGGGAATGGTAAATCACTTAGGAGTATTATCTACCTGGAAAGCCCCTGAAAAGGGTTGCCATAAGTCGGAATTGACATGATGGTGATGAAGATTATGTGTGACAAGACACAAGTCTAAAAAGAGGAACCCACACTACCTATGGTGAGCCAGGCTAGTGAGGGCCCCTAATGACAAGGAGAGCCCTAACAGGAAACATGAGTTGCCCTCTTCAGACCTGTCACCCTCCACATGTAGAAGAATGATGAAATTGGAAACAGACAGGGTGGAGAACCCGTGGTAAATGTACCTGCTCTAACAATGACTGAATAGGGCTGTAGTGTTGGGAAGGACCACTAATGTATATGGCAAGTAATCAGCCATTTGGGGCAGAAAGGCAAACAGACTTCCTTCCTGTCCCTTCTAGATCTCTAGATAGACTGTGCTTCCTTCCACCTTCTGTCTCTAAGATTACTTCCTCATAGCTACAATGACATGGCTTCTCCATTATGGGTGAGTGGATCTTTCTGTACAAAAATCACATTTTGGGACTTCTATCTAAGCTATAGGCTCTTCTTCTGTACAAAAATCACATTTTGGGACTTCTCTATCTAAGCTATAGGCTCTTCTTCCTACATCCATCATATATGGATTTCTTGAAAGAAAAATGTGACTTTTCTATATTTACCTAATTATAAGTTTCTGTCATGGCAACTCTTTTTTTTTTTAATTGCAAGCAGTTTAGCACTAAGAACCAATGTGATGAACCAGCCAGAGTGTCAAAATAGGACTCAGAAAGCTCTATGAGATGGTTGGTATATAAATAGCACATTTTGCTTTCTTTTTCTTTTTAAACTTGGGTAGACGGGTGATTGGGCTACTGATACATTTTGGGCTACTATTACAATCGTGTTCCTGTAAACCGTTTAGAGTGGTGCTTTGCACTAAGTCAGTTGCATATATATGCACTAACTAACTAACTAACTAACTAACTAACTAACTAACTAACTAACTAACTAACTAACTAACTAACTAACTAACTAACTAACTAACTAACTAACTAACTAACTAACTAACTAACTAACTAACCTGGCTTCAAATCCCCAGTCACTCACAGAAACTCACTGGGAGATAGCAGTGGTAAATTGCTTCTTAAGTTCCTCACAAACCTTGAAAATGCTGTTAAGGCCACCATTAAGTCAGAAATGACTTGATGACATCTAACAACAACAACTGAACATTATATTTATTTATTTGTTAGTTAGTTTAACTAAGTTCCCATTAAAATAATGACTTAAGGTGTCTCATTCATTTGAAAGGGGAACTCAGTTCAACTAACTTATCATCCAGGACTATGCATCTATCTTACTGAGTTCCACTGAGTTCAAAATCACTAAACTGGCAGTATAGTATTGCACTGTTAAACTGGACCCGAAGCTCTATCTTTAGGCTTAAGCAGAAAGCAAAGAAGAACAAACTTCAAGAGCTGGTGAACTAGCGATTTTACCATGTACGCTCTTGCAGGTGTTAGTGTATAAGATGACCACGTGTTCACTTACTAATGTAAAAACTAAGCTTTTTGGCAGATTGGCTTTCCCGAACTTCACATGAACCGGAAGAACTAAAGGTTGTAACAGATAAGACGTATTTCCCTGGTTCTTTTAGATCGGCAACAAATTCATGAATGTCTTCCCCAACTGTCAGGAATTCGGTGGAGTTCTCTGAATCAGGAGAGAAGAAGATAATATGAATTAATTGACTTCAGAAAGGTTTCCAGCTGCAGACATAACGATTTACATCTGGTATCCTAATATTAAAATGCTGCAGGGCCTCGGGCCTAGGCTCAGTCAAATGCCATTTAACATGTATCTGTGAATTATGAATATCTGGAGGCAAAAGTAAAACAAAATCCCAATATTCCTCAAGGAGAAACTTTAATGGCAATTTTAAACAATCACAAACAATGAAGAGCTTTTGTTGTTCGTGATAACGATACTTTATCTGGACAAGTCTTCTCAAGGAAAAGAAAAAAAAGGAGGGAAGTAAGGTCTGTAAAATTGATTTATTATACTATATATTTTATGTAACAGATAATGATAACTCAACACCATCTCACTCAAGATCCTTCTGGATCTGACTGAGGTATGCAGTTAATCATTAAAATATAAACCCAATTGCAAGAAAGACTAAAAAACAGAAGTATTAAAGCAAAACATTTCCTCTTCTGCCTCCTTTGGATGCTCTGGTAACAATAAAATAAAATTGACCAGGGATAGTATTTTTGGATTTTCTGGACTACCTTACAGGCACCTTACAGATATATGAATGGTGATATACAGTGGTGCCTCAACTTATGAACTTAATTGGTTCTGGAATTCCGGTCATAACTCAAAATGGTCGTACGTCGAAGCACCATTTCCCATTGAAATGCAATTAATCCGTTCTGGCTGATTGGGGGGAAAAAGAAAAGCAATCAAGCGTGCAAGACCCATCGGAAATGCAAAGAAAGCAAAGGAAAAAGCAAACAGAGCACATCAGAAATGCAAATGGAGCACATCGGAACTCAAAAGAAAACAAAGCAAAAAGCATGCATAACCCATCGGAAATGGGAAAAACACTCCAAAAAGCAACCAACCCCCCAAGACTCATCAAAAATGGGAAAAAAAACACTCCAAAAAGCAACCAAACCTCCCAAGACCCATCAGAAATGGGGGGGCAAACAACCCCCCCAAGACCCATCACAGCACAGAAACATACCCCCCCAGCCCAAAACCACACTGCAAAACCCACCCAGGACAGTTTTTTAAAAGCAGAAAGCAGCACCTTACCTTACCAGGCACCTCCTCCAATTGCACACTCTCTAACTGCTGGGATGAAAGAGCTACAAAGATGAGCCTCGTCATCACCTACAGTTAGCTATTTGAATTTCCTGCCCTTTTCCCCTGCCTTTTTTCTGTTCGTAACTGGAAGCTCCGGCTGCAAGTCAAAGCAAAATTTTGCAGCCGGAGCTGGTTGTAACTCAAAATGGTCATAAGTCAGGACGTTCGTAAGTCCAGGCACCACTGTACTGTACCTGTAAGAAAGGCCTCAATTTAAAGGCTTTGAGGCTTAGGCCAAGCTCTGCCCAAGCTTTCTGCTTCCAGCCAGCTCTGGGGCAGCAAAAAAGGAAGAAGCTTGAGCAGAAGCTGGTCTAGCTAAGCCTCAAAGCCTTCTATGGCTCAAAGGATTGAAGCTTTTTTTAAAATAGGAAGCCTATGACATCATCTACCATCCCACTCAGACCTTCTTGTTCCCTATGTACTTAACGTAGATGGGAGAGATATAGATGTACAACAAGTACATTATTGCAGGCTATCACACAATGTTTAAGGGTGGTTTGGTTTTAAGCAGGCAAATAAGAGCTATTAGCTTTACAAAAGACCTGCTTCTTGTTCCTTGATACAGACCAACCGAACCACCTGAGCTTTTGAACTCTCCTCTGCAGGGTGGAGACTGACTATGGGGACTGCCATGAGGAGCATCCGAACTTATACATTTACCATTACATGCCTGGAGAGGAGACGGGGAAAGAAAAAGGGGAAAAAAATACCATTCTTCTTCAACATATACTTGGATTATGTATTGTTGCTGTCCATTAATCACAACTGAGTTAATGCCTTCTCCTGCCTATCATTCTGCAATCAAATGGAAAGGAGAAACGGTATAATGCATTTGCACTACTAGCAAAGTACCCTTGACTCAGATCAGTGCAAGGAACATATTCTGTAACAACATGAAGGCAGATGGTGTCTTTATGGTTCCCACATTCCTATAGGCTCACACCCACCCACACCTGGAGGAGAGCATGTGTCCAACTTTGGCATCTCCATAGCACCACCTGACAGGTAGTATACATCATATTATTAGACTTCATCTGATGAATGCAAAGTTAGATCGTTTCACTTAGAATAATGGAAGTGGCTCCGGCTCCATGGGAGGGCAAATGTCTTTCATGGAGAAAGCCCCAGGTTCAATCCCTGGCCTCTCCAGGTACAGCTAACAAAAAAAAATCCTGGCTGAAGCCCTGGAGAACTGCTGCCAGTCAGAATACTGGGTAGATGGGCCAATGGTTTGACTTCATATGGCTGTTTTCCTAACAGCCTTTAATCTCATATTTCACAGCTGGTTTATTTATTAAGAAAATCGTTTCAAATTCCAGTTAGGCAGAAAACGTTCACCTGTAGATCATTGGTTGGAAAAAGAATTATGCAGGCCAACAAGTACAGTGGGGTCTCGACTTAAGAACTTAATCCGTATTGGATAGCACCACCTGACAGGTAGTATACATCATATTATTAGACTTCATCTGATGAATGCAAAGTTAGATCGTTTCACTTAGAATAATGGAAGTGGCTCCGGCTCCATGGGAGGGCAAATGTCTTTCATGGAGAAAGCCCCAGGTTCAATCCCTGGCCTCTCCAGGTACGGCTAAAAAAAAAAATCCTGGCTGAAGCCCTGGAGAACTGCTGCCAGTCAGAATACTGGGTAGATGGGCCAATGGTTTGACTTCATATGGCTGTTTTCCTAACAGCCTTTAATCTCATATTTCACAGCTGGTTTATTTATTAAGAAAATCGTTTCAAATTCCAGTTAGGCAGAAAACGTTCACCTGTAGATCATTGGTTGGAAAAAGATTTGTGCAGGCAAATAAGTACAGGGGAGGCTTTTCTATGCAGCCCAGTCCAGCCACAGGAGCTCTTACTCATAACCTGGAAAATGGCAGGGAAGTCCTATGCATCCAGGATGTGCCCAAGACATGTTGATGCCTGAGGAAGAGCAGAAAATTGAGCCCCTCCCTCCGTAAAATAAAAGGGCACAGAATCCCAGGCTAGTCGGTTATTATTTTGGCACCTGAGGCATAAAGATCTCACAAGTGCATGGGGAAAAAAAGGTGATCACAATAAATTAACAATTTGCAGTTACTTCATAACACATAAAAACTGCTGCCAGAGGTAGCCACTTCAGTTTGCCTAATGGTAGGGCTGGCGCTGTTTAAAAGAAAGACTGAGGGGTCAGCTTGGTCTCTCTTTTGCTTTTTTTTGCAAAACCACCTGATCACCTTTGATGAAATGTGTCCTGTCATAAGTGCAGCAATAGGACCGTCTTGGAAGTTTCTGTACATGCACTGAAAATGCTGAAGCTCATGTTTTTAGTAGGCGACGAGCACCATGAATGTGTTTTGGGCGATGTTGGCTCAAATACCAGTGCGGAGCCCCAGATATGCATGGGAAAGGGCAAGAAGTTCCAAATGGAGGAGTAAATGAGTGTGTGTGATAAATAGGAAACTGAAAGGAAAAAAGAAAACATAATGAAAGCATGAAGATGGGAAGAGAGCTGTGATGTGAGATAGGAAAGAAGTGGAAGGCAGAAGGCAACTCCAGACAAGTCTGGTGATAGCCTATACTGCAGATACTTTGCTGCCTGAGGTAAAATACAAGAGAGAACCTCATTTTTCTAGTATGTGTCATATATATGATCATGTGCTGTCAAGCTGACTTATGGAACCCTTTTTTGGAATGTTTCTGGAAAAAGAGTACTCAGAGGTGATCTACCATCCCCTTCTCCTGGTGGACTGCACAGCTTCCCAATACTCAGAGGTGATCTACCATTCCCTTCTTCTGGTGGACTGCACAGCTTGCCCATGGCCAACCACACTGGTTCATCCTGGAGACACAATGGGAATTCGAACTCCCAATCTTTGGCTCTGCAGTCAGGAATCTAACTCACAGAACTATCTACCCAATGACTATGTACAGAAGCTTCTAAGTCACCACTTGGACTTTTTACAACATCTGTGACAGGACTCACCACACCCGAGGTGTGCAACCTAGCTTAAAGAGAAATACACAGCGAACCATGTATTGCACACAGCAATGTCCCTGTTTGGACAACCTTCCCCAGTCCCAATTTCTTGCTCCCTACTCTGAACAGCACTGCGTGTAGCGTTACCTTCTCTCTTGATGCGAATATAGAAACCATCAAATGCTGTGGGTGGCTTCGGGGGCAACCAGCTCAGCCTCATTTGCACCGGGAGGAATGAGGGAGATGGAGACGTAGGCTCTTCAAATTCCACAGTAGGGTTGATGCTCTCGTAATCTTTTGGCACTCCATTCACAAACTCATCCTCGCTCTCCAGAGGATCCGATTCATTTATCCACCAGTCTGGCTGAGATGTCGTTTCATAGTCACTGTTATTATAGTGGTAATCAGGCCACGTGCTGGAAGCGTTTTCTGTTGGCAGTTCGGGCAGATCATCCAAAATGTGGGGAACCTTCTCTTGCCCCATTGTGTTCTGGGGTCCTAAGAAGGATTCTTCTGGGAAATTCCCACTCGGTTCCTCCCAGTTCTCATGGACATTCACTTGTACGATGTGCACAGAAATGTTCCGAGGTGGGTAGGGAACTGGAAAAGAAAAAGGCACATCTTAAAACATTCAATTGTTTTCATAGTGGTTATCTCAGTAGATTGCAGTATGTGGGTTAAACACTGAAAGAACACAACAGAACTTTGCAGAGGGATTAATAAATTTTAGGAGCTGACAAACCACTCCTGAATTAATATTCACTCAGGCTGCACCAAAAATTTTCATTTTTTTCTTTTCAGCTTCACAAGAGATCTCAGACATGTGTACAAACTTTTTCTTAGGTGAATCCCTCTACAGGATTTGACATTCTGATGTATCTGGTGCTGCATTCAGAACCATATTAAATGTAGCATCTTCTATGATTTTCCCATGGTGTTTTCCAGCATTAATAGCTTCACAGAGTTAGGGAGGGTTTGCTTATAGGCCACATTATTCAGCTATAGAGTTTAGGTTATACTGACCTGAACAAAGCAAAAAAATATTATCTGAAAGTCTCTGTTAGAACTGAGGTGGGAACAGGGTGTACCTAAGTAAGGGCAAACAGATCAGGATCTGAACCCATTTGGAAATATTCCAGCCCAGTCTGTATCTATACTACCACCAAGTATGCCATAAAACCTCAGGGGCATCTGTAATCGTTTTCTATGGTACATAGAGAGGATAAAAACAAGGAGGAAAGAGGAAGCAAGATGGGAGGGGGAGACAAAAGATATGAGTAATGATGTTTTGCCAGAACTTGCCATGTGGTTTTTGGCAACAGTTTCCCAGAAACACAATTTTTATGTGCCGTCAAGTCAATTCTGGGTTTTCCAGGTACAGAATACTCAGAAGTGGTTTACCACTCCTGCCTTCTGGGGGCATCTTGAAACTTCACTCACATAAGGCACAATGGGGAATCAAACTCCCAACTTTTGGCTTCCCAATCAGATACCTAAACCTAAACCTATCCAGTCAGCAGCAATGCAAGAGGCCCTTCAAAAATTGTTTTCAGGGGGGCCATATAACCTGCAAACCATGTGTTCCCTGCCTCTGATTCACAAGATCCACGAAGTCCTACTTAGCCACCCTTCCATGCTGAAAAGATTTGAAGTCCAGTCTCTGGCTCTAATGAACTGGCTACAGCAACTACGAACCCAACAGTGGTGTAGAAGTGTTGGCATTTTTATCAGCGGAAGAACTGTTTCCACTAATGAAATTATAGTTCTTCAAGACGTTCAAGGTATGACAGGGACTGATTGTGTTGTGACACATTTCATTTACAGCAATGCCATGATGGGAAATGAGTGCATGTTTCAAAGAAGAAACACACCAGGAATCTGAGGAAAGCACACAGAATTTTGACGAGACTAGTGATTTAGCAGAAGTCAAGCTAAACTGTCTGGGTAGGTGGGTTGGTGGGTAGGTCATAGAATCATCGTAGGGTTGGAAGGGACCTTGGAGGTCTTCTAGTCCAACTCCCTGCCCAAAGCAGGAGACCTCATACCATGCTGGACTTCATACCATCCCCAACAGATGGTTGTTCAATCTTTTCTTGAAAACCTCCAGTGATGGGGCACCCACCACATCAGGAGGCAAGCTGTTCCACTGCTTAATGGTTCTCACCATCAGGAAATTCCTTATTTCCAGGTTGGATCTCCCTCTGACAAGTTTCCACCCATTGGTCCTTGACCTACCCTCGTGTTCAGTGGAGAATAAATCAATGCCCTCTTCCCTGCGGCAACCCTTCCGATCTTAGAAGACTGCTATAATGTCTCCCCTCCGTCTTATCTTCATTAGGCTAAACATACCTAGTTCTTTTCGTTGTTCTTCACTGGATTTAGCCTCCAGTCCCCTTATCATCTTTGTTGCTCTTCTCTGCACCTCTTCCAGGGCCTCATCATCTTTTTTTGTATACTGGTGACCGGAATGGACACAGCACTCCAAGTGCGGCCTCACCAGTGCGGTATAGAGTGGTACCATCACTTCCCATGATCTTGATGCTGTCTCCCTGTTGATGCAGCCTAGGACTGTTTTGGCTTTCTTGGCAGCTGCAGCACACTCCTGACGCATCCTTAGGCAGTGGTCCACCAGGACACTTAAATGCCGCTCACAGGTACTGCTGGCGAGCCAGGCACCACCTATCCTGTACCTGTGCACCTGGTTTCTCCTGCCTAAGTGCAGGACCTTACTTTTCCTGCCACCGAACTGCATCTTATTGGAAGTGCCCAATGTTCAAGTCTGCCTAGATCCTTCTGAGCCTATCTTCCAAAGTACAGTATTAGCAATTCCCCCCAGCTTTGTGTCATCAGCAAATTTGATGAGTGCTCCTTCGATCCCCTCATCCAGCCCATTTATGAAGATGTTGAAGAGCACTGGGCCCCAGGCAGAACCTTGGGGGCCCCCACTGCACACTTCTCTCCACATGGATCTGTTTCCATTGAATGCGGTTGGTCAGCCAGCTGCAAATCCATCTGGTAATTGCGCTGTTTATCTAAAAAGGTGTGTACCTTCTACATTTCACTAATGCTAGTAGTCAGAGTTTTCTTAGTGTATAGTCAGACGCACAATGTGGAACTGGAAAAAGATATGCAGGTAGAGGAATAGGGAAAAACTCTGTTTATTAAGAACTTAAATGACAGGGAATGTCATGTGATGCAATTTATAAATGTTAGAAACTGCTTGAAATCTGAACACCCAAGCCATATTAAGACAAGTTCTTGATTTTGTCCTGAAGTCCTCTCCTTTACCCTGTTCTGAAAGTCTGCAAGCCCTACTGAGCGCTGTGTACCAGACACTAGAGCAACTCCTTGGTCTGCAGATTTGTCTGGCTTTTCAGGGGTGGGGGGTGAGATGAGGTCTGCCAGGTTATTCACAGAGTTGGGAAACTGACTTTAAAAACACCTGCCGGCAGTGAAATAATACTGAAACAATCCATGCAGTCTGCAAAATGGATGAGACCTGAGGCTAGAATCGATCAGAAGGTTCACACAAAGGGAATATTCAAAGCGTTTCACGAGATTTCCACGTGGGAGGAATTCTGAAGGAAGCAAAAAAGAATTTCCGAGACACCAGCAACATTTCTTGAAGAATGGTCCTAGCTGAAAATGAAAATGCTCGTAATAAATATGGATGATTTCCTTGTTTCTGATATATGCTTGTCTTTTTTTTACAGGGAGTTCAAAGCAGTGTGTGAGAGACCCTCCTTACTTCCATTTTATTCTCACAACAGCTTTGTGGAATCCGTTCAGCCACAATACAATCATTATCACCACCTTAGAATTATGGAGCTGGAAGGGACCCTATGGATCATGGAGTCCAGCCCCCATCAAGGAGGCACAGTGTGGAATCGAACTCCCAACCTCCATAGCCAAATACCTAAATGACGGAGCTATCCAGCAGTCCGATGATTTGCCCAAAATGACTCAAAGAATTTCACAGTCAAGTGGGGATATAAAAGTGTGCCTCCCCTGCCCTCCTCTAACATTCTCACCCAGAGAAAGGAAGGATGTCTCCCTCCAGATGATGGACTGCAACTCCCATCTGTCCTGGCTAGCACACTCAAGCAGGATGGGAATTACAGTCCAACAACAACTCCACAGATCTCCTCGCCCTTTGATCTAACCACTTGCAGCACTCCAGGCTTTGCTGCCAGCTATTTTTCTTTTGCATCTTGCCTGGTGTGAATTTGTCCTTTGAAAACCAACCTGAAAAAACAGGAAGTGTTCATGCTTTCCCCTGATGTACAACAGCATGGCCCGCTGGTCACTGAGATGAGCAGGAATCCTTGGGCATGCTTCCAAGATGGAATTACAATAAGTTCCAGATTTTGCCCAAGTGTCATTTTGAATTCATACAACACCACTATCTTGTCAAGGGTTTTTTTTTTTCATTTTATTTCCCCCCCTCCCTCTCTTCTTAGTCTAAATCTTCATGCTTCAAGGCACAAACTGATCAAGCACAGGGCAGTGGGGGGGGCAAGGGAGGAAGCGCTAAACAATATCATTTGTCTGCCTTCTTATACTGCTGTGCGCTTCTGGCCTAGAGCATAACAAGGGGCAACTTGTCTTCCTTAAATATGTCAGTGATGAAATGGCTGCTAGAAGCAAATTGCTCTGCCAGACTGGCCGGCATGGATCCTCATGCAGAAAATCCTCTTGGAGAAAGTATGATGTAACAGATAGCATATTCAACATAGAAAAAGCCCCCCGTGTTATCATCAAAAAATCCTCTTGGAGAAAGTATGATGTAACGGATAGCATATTCAACATAGAAAAAGGCCCCCGTGTTATCATCATCATCTTAGAACTGCAGAGTTGGAAGGGACCCTATAGATCATCAAGTCCAGCCCCTGTCAAGGAGGCACAAGTGGGGAATCAAACTCCCAACATCTGGCTCCACAGCCGGATACCTAAACCATTGAGCTATCCAGCAGTTTAGCCAGAGCCTGGGAGTCTGATTCCCCACTATGCTCCTTGACAGGGGCTGGACGCGATGATCCATAAGGCGTCTTCCAGCTCTGCAGTTCTAAGATTATAAAAGGAAAAAAAAGAAGAGCCAAAGACCATCCCACTCATATTATTATCTTTCAAAGGTTCTGTGCTTTGAACCTTTTACGTTTCCTTCTTCTGTTTTTGTTAGATAGAAGTCAATAAAATGATTTCCTACGTAACTTCAATCAAATGACTAAACAATTTAGAAGCAGTTGCCGGGTGAACTCACCTGTCTCCAAAAATATGTATGTTTCTGCTCTAGAAAAAAAAAGTATAGGAAGAACCTTCTAAATAAGCAGTCATCCTCTATTGAAGATATTAGAGCCCTCAGGTCTGAAGATGAGTGAGTTATAACCATAATAATATTCTTAGAACCGCAGAGCTGGAAGGGACCCTATGGATCATGAAGTCCAGCCCAGTCAAGGAGGCAATTGAACTCCCAAACTCTGGCTCCATGGACCTTCATTGTGTGATGAAACACACTTTGTGAACTCTGGCCAGTTTCTCTCCCACCCACCCTCGATACCCCACAGGGCTGCTGTGAGGAGAACACTGCACTCCACACTCCTTGAGTTTTATGTACTGAACAGATAAAGTGGTTTACCACTCCTTTCTCCTGGGGGCATCGTGGGACTATGCAGCCTGCCCAAGAGCACCCAGGCTGGCTCTACCCACAGGAGGCACTGAAGGGAATTGAACCTTTGGCTCTGATGCCAGGCACTTAAACCACAGAGTTATCCCGCCAATATCCTACATTTTCTATCCCATTCGCAACCATGCAGTTAAGTCACACAACCAACAGAAATGCTTTGTGTTACCTGTTCGGTGCTGCTTGGGTTCATGCTTCACCCCGCTATATTCCACCAGTGTGCTTTTGCTGAACGTCGCTTCAGACACCAACTGAAATGTGATGTTGCTATAACATATTCCTGGCAACCAATGGTTGAAAACAGTTTTGCCTTTAAAGAAATCTGTGGAGCAGTAAATAAAACGGTACACATGACATTAAATCAGCACAGCAACCCAACCACATGGTTTTTAGCTGGTAAATATTGGCTGGCGCTGAATTGATTTTTTTAAAAAAACAGTCATATTTCCGACGAGTTTATAAAACAACAACAACAAAAAAACCCTCTCTCCCTACCCACCTCCTCTCTTTCCTTTCTCTTCCTTCCTGTCACGCTTACAGGCTGAACGCAAGGAAATAAACATGAAAGCTAGCCAAGTAATTGCAACGGGCAACATGTACTTTGTGACACCAAACCTTTCAAAGATGAAATGATATCCTCTGTAGCAGCCTTGACAGTAACTGTACACAAGAGGCCTCTCAAGGCCAAATTGCCAGAGGAGAAATGGCAGAGAGCGGCCACAATGGAAGCAAACCAAACATAGGAAAGCAAGATTCTTTTTATTTTTTTTAACATTACAAGTAGGAATGGCAAATATCAGACTTCCAGGATTTGCTTTGTCTTATGTACGAGAATCCCAAGGAGCAACCAGAGGGAAAAAAAGGCACTGAGAGAAGGCATGCATTTATAGTTGAGGACATACAGTGGGGTCTCTACTTAAGAACGTCTCTACTTAAGAACAATCCAACTTAAGAACAGCTCCATTTGCTAAATTTTGCTTCTACTTGAGAACAGAAATCCAAGATAAGAACAGGAAAAAAACCTTTCCTGCTCTTTTTTTAACCTTATGTCATCTTAGGTTAAAAAAATTCTCCCCCTAGAGTACGTATTAACCAGCTTTGCATCAGTTCCTATGGGAACTAATGCTTCAATGTACGAACGCACCTCTACATAACAAAAAAAACCAGCCAAAACGGATTAATTGGTTTTCAGTCCATTCCTATGGGAAATTTTGCTTCAACTTAAGAACGTTTCAACTTAAGAACACCAGTCCAAAACGGATTAAGTTCTTAAGCAGAGGTTCCACTGTAGTTTCTATGGACGGAAAAGAGCAGATACGGATTAAAGGGTTTTCAATGCATTCCTATGGGAAATGCAGATTCAAGATAAGAACTTTTCAACTTGAGAACCACCTTCCAATACGGATTAAGTTCTTAAGTAGAGACCCCACTGTATACAGTTAGAGCATTTTGATACCACTTTAACTTCCATTCTACAGAATCCTGGGAATTGTAGTTTGGTAAGGCCCGAGCATTCTCTCCTAGAGACCTTCTGGTGCACTCTCTCCAACTACCTGCATGTCTAAGCACCTCAGCCAGAAATCCTAAACTGGAGCCATGGCAGTTAAAGTGGAATCAAACGACTGCAACTGTCTCCTGTAGATGCACTGCAGAAGAGGTGCTTCTGAGCCCATTCTCAGCGTAGAAAATTGCATTTAATCTCAGCTAGGTTTTGGTTTCATCAGAATTGAGCTTATAGTTCTATCACATGAAAAATAGAAACACCTGGCTCCTTCCCACCCAAAAATGTTCTAGCAGTCTAATTTATGGCACCCCAAAAAGCCCTTTTTTGTTACTGTTAAACAAATGGAAGTCAAAAAATGCTGGCACATCTCATGCATATTATCCAAGATCTCCCAGTACATACAATAAAACTTCCCTCTTTCCCCCAACCCCAGATCCCAGTAGCCTTACACTTAGCAAAAATGAAAATGAAAAGCACACAATTAACTCAAAAGTAAATGAACTCTAATATTACAGAAAACTGTACATCTCCTGTTATCTTTTCCCAAAGGGAGACAGATACACATTGCCTCTGGAATTTCTTATTGCTTTGGGAATGGGGGGAAGCAGAATAATTCCAATTAAATAGTGCTTTCGGAAACAGACATGACAACAATAACGGCTCGATACATTAGATCAGAAGCTAGTTAGGCAATCCACATTTTCACTGTCAATTTCTCTCTGAACAGATGGCGAGAACTACTGGGACAAGTGGTTATTATCAGCACTGTATGTATTTAAGCATCAAGGAGGATTTGCATACCACACTAGGAGCAACAATTATGATAGCTTGATACCATCAGTCCAGTTGCGGAATTGTATTAAGTATTGCACCTCCAGCACAGATATTATTATTATTTTGCTCCTCAAAATCATTTGCACAGAACAAAAGAAAAATAATTCAACTGAATATAGGTCACTATCTCTGAAGCTGCCATAGTGCTAAACTGATTGTAATACAGTGGTGCCTCGCTTTATGATTGCCCCTCATTACGATGAAACCACATTACGACGATCTTTTTGCGATTGCAATTGCGATCGCAAAACGATGGTCTGAATGGGGTTTTTTTCGCTTTGCGATGATCCGTTCCCTGCTTCGGGAACCGATTCTTTGCAAAATGACGATTTTCCTCCAGCTGATCGGTGGTTTCAAAATGGCCGCCGGGTAAATAAAATGGCTCCCTGCTGTTTTCTGGGACGGATTCCTCACAAGACAGCCACTGAAAATGGCCACCCTATGGAGGATCTTTGCTGGACAGTGAGTTTCCAGCCCATTGGAATGCATTGAAGGGGTTTCAATGCGTTTCAATGGGCTTTTTATTTTCTCATTACTGTACAATGTTTTCGTTCTGCAACTATTTCGCTGGAACAAATTAACGCCGTAATGCAAGGCATCACTTTACAGTGACCAAAATCTTGTTACTTCGCATAGTAAATTGCACAAAAAAAGGTTTCCTCCATGGGACTTTTCTGTAAGTTGATTGAAACAGGCCCACTCTAATTGTGACTTACTGTATTGAAGTGTGTAGGCATCCTTCAGTCTCAAGAGACTATGGTAATGTGTTCTGAAAAGAGATCTTGGAACAATGTCTGGTGTGGCTGAGAAGACCAATTCAAGAGTGACAAGTAAGTCAATACAATTTAGAGGAGGGCCATAGGAATCAATGGAGCTTATGGACGATTTGACTTACCAAAACCCCATCGATTCAATGAGCCTACTTTATATGATCAACCATACTAAGCAACAAAATTTGGACTATTGAAAAATGAGCTCCTAAGCAATTGGATCACATGTTATAAACTGCTTATTAAAAAAATTCTAGTGTTTCAACATTTTGAAACACTAAGTGGGATTCTGAGTAAACTAGACGAACTTCGGTTCCATGCAATGTTCCCTCTACATTTCAGTCTCGCTGCATGAGAGCCATTCTCTCTCTGGGGGGGCGGGGGCGGAGCAGTTTCATTTGAAAGGGTAACTAAATAAGCTGGCTGCCGTCTGCCCGGCTGCAACCCCAATGGAGCTCTGGGCAAGCCGGTGCGCTCGCAGCTTAGAAGGAACATTGGTTCCATGGAAATCAATGGGGCAATTTAATTATAACTTAACAATTCCCTTTGATGTAATTGGAACTAAATTGGAATAAGTCAATCCAAGTCAAACCTACTGTCAGGACACAAGGCTCAGTGACGGATGATGCGAATGTTAATGAAAGCCATGAGCTGAAAAGGAAGGGTACCTCTTTGTTTAACATTCACTTTCCACTTACCTTTATACAACATCGTCCGATAATCTTTCCCTTCCCAGTAGCTTATGTTCACCCTGGTAAAAACATTGTACTTCTCTGGATATCGGATTTCAAACAATACTCCCGTTTCCGGTGATGATTTATAGTCATAGATGGAAACGCTGGTTACAGGTAGAGGTTCTTCAAAAGAGAAAGAATAAGGGTCCTTAGAAAGAAAATATGATCATCTTAGAATAATGATGTATCACTCAGATGCCAGTGACATGACGGTTGGCAAAGTATGCAACGATCTGGGGTTTATTCACCCGTATCTACAGATTGTTTGATCCTTCAGCTCTTGAAGAATGACAGGTGGATGTATGAACTGACTCCATCAATAAGCATTTTGTCTGAAGTGGGTGTCAGGATAAATAAGAGCAGGGCTGGTATCACCACAGATGCTCTTTGGGTGGCTGCTAGGGCTCCATAACCCCTGCAGGGTGCACAGCTACTTCCTGGCTTTGTATCCCCTTGGGGAGGGGGAGGAATCATATCTGTTCTGAAATAAGCATTTTCTGGCTTGATATGTCAGAGTCGCCATCTTATCTTTCCGTTAGGTTCCTGATGCGGCATCTCTCCGCAACACTGTAGATAACAATGCCTGAAAAGGTTTTTCTGTTTCTTACACAAGCATCTCACATGCCGTATGAGCAAAGTTTAGTCCCATCAAGGCAGAGGTGCTCCTGATTGGTCTGAAAGTACATGAAAGACTCAATTTGGCTTGGTAGGACCCACTGCTCTTGAAGACTCAGGCTCACAGCTTGCGTGTGGTGGTCAGAGGCACATTGTATAGTTAAGGTTATAGTGTCATCTATATCTGTTTATGTAGGAGTCAGATATAACTGTTAAGGATGGGCTGCTTTGATTTCTTGCACTACAAATCTCATACTAAATTTCTCCATTCTGGGAATTCCACCTGACAGACAGACAGACACCTTACGGAGACTTAAAGGTAGCTCACCTAGAAGGAAGGCCTCAAATAGAAGGCTTCAAGGCTTAGTTAGGCCTTGCTCTGCTCATGTTTCCTGCTCCTGCCTCAACGCTAACTGTTTTTCTGAACAGGAAGTTGGAGATTAATCAAATGATGAGACAAAAATTAGCAGAGATAGGAAGCACCCCATGTTAAGGTCAAAATCATTATTTTGTATTTGAGAGGACCGAGGCATGTGAAACTTTAAAAAAATTATCATCATATTGCCTAGATTTGGACAGGAAGGCCAATCCCGTAAGTGTGTGTCCCTGCTCCAACAAACTCCCCATTATACACCCATTCTCTTATTGAACTTGGTCACGCCAGAGAGCCCGGGTGGGCGGGGGAAATGTTCATCTCGTTTCCCTTTTTCTCGGCATTCAAGTGACAGAATAGTACTCAACATTCTGAAAGCAACATGAGAACATCAAAAGCATTACTCTTAAACTGTTGTCCTTTAGATCCACCAGTTGACTTGTCCTTCCATTAAGACAAACGCAGCAAGTTTAACAAGGGGTGAGGGCAAAAGGGCAGTTGCCCCGGGTGCAAAATTCTTAAGGCACAAAATGGTCACAAACTGCCAGACCTGGTCACTTGAGGAGAAGGAGGGGCGGGGAGGGGCCAGCAGAGCCCCCGTCGAGCCTGTATTGATGCATCGCTACCGCACTACCCAGTGTGCCGTATATTTCCCTTCTGCCCTGAGGCACAGCAGCCCAGCATCCGTTGTGGCCCAGAGGCCCCATTGGCACACAACAGACACCCCCCCCTTGCACAGTGGAAAGGGAGCTCAAGGCTGACCCTCAGCCCTAACCCCACCCCACCTGAAGGCAATGTGGGCATGGCCCTGGCTGCTGAAACCATCATGTGGAGAGTACATGGCCAGCTGGCTGCTCCTCCTGTTGGAGGGGCGGCGTGCCAGCTGAACTCACCTGGGTAGCCAGTCAGCTGGCCACCATTGGCCACTGAATGCTGCTGTTGATGGGCCTGCCGCAGCCCAAGCCCCTACCTGGTCCTTTCTGTTGGTGGCCAAACAGCACGAGGACATGCATAGACACACCCTACGGCCTAGGGAGCACAATACCCATGCTATGCCACTGCTCAGGACTGTGGCTTCTTTTCATTCCATTCCATGTTACATAGGCCTCCTACGATATAATAATCACTATGCGTTTTTCCAATTATGGCAGCTTTATAGAGTGAGTGACTGCATTACCCTGTTACTTCTCCCTAGAAGAAATCCAATAAGGAACGGAAATTGTTTTCATTTTTATTACCAATTTATTTTGATCCTGATCTTTTGATTTAATTAGCAGATGATTAAATTAAACGGAAGGCATTGTAAACTGCCTCCTTCCTGACATCTCCCTTGCAACAGCAGCAGCTAGTAAATCAGTGCCGGTTAATGAATAGCACTCAAGTAAGGTCATAGGCAGGGAGCTGCTTCTGGAACATCCAAGTACGTACCTATGTGGGGAAATCATCCTATTCTCATCCTTTAGAGTCAGAGAAGGGGTTCAAATGTTTGTTCCAGATGGTACAGTCTAATTCAGGAGGGTCTACATGAATTTTATGTGTGCTAATACACTTGAAAGTAACATACTGCAAACAATGTGCAGTTCAGTAGTAAAGCTCACAGAAAGAATGAGGTGCCACCAGGCCCGTTAAAAGGTGAAGGGACTGGCTAGTCACAGTGCCCCCACCAACAGTGGCAGAACAGGGAACTGCAACTAGTCATGAGACTCAGTGTACCAACAAGGGCCACATATAAAACCCTGTTGGGAGAAAAAAAAATCAGTACAACGAGAGTTTTACTGATGGACGCCCAGAAAGAGCAATAGGTGGTTCCTAGATCGAATCAAGCTTGACCTCATACATACTAGAAGCTAAAATAACTAAATAAAAGCTGTCGTATTTTGGGCATATCATGATGTGACCAGACTCAGCAGAAAAGACAATTATGAAAGCAGAAGTTCAAGGCAGCAAGAAAAGAAGAGCTAATATGAAATTGATTGATTCAATGAAGGAAACTCTGAGCAAGGTTGATAACAGGGCTTTCCTGAGGTTAGTGAAGCCATAAGGTTGGCAGTAAGTTGGCTGCAATTCTCTGTAAGACAAAGTGCTGAACAGCTTCACCAAGCCAGATCAGGACCTCCATCCACAGCCAGAGTTTGGAAAGTTATTTTTAAAAAACTAATTTTAACAACATGGATTGAGAGGAACAGGTGAGATGAATAGCTGGTTTCTGGAAGAGACATTTTGACAAGTCCTAAACCGCTAAGGGCTTTGTAAGTCATAACCTGTGCTAACATGCACTGGATTATGGAGAAAGCCAGAGAGTTCCAGAAAAACGTCTACTTCTGCTTTATTGACTGTGCAAAAGCCTTTGACTGTGTGGACCACAGCAAACTATGGCAAGTCCTTAAAGAAATGGGAGTGCCTGACCACCTTACAGTATCTATCTCCTGAGAAATCTATACGTGGGACAGGAAGCAACAATTAGAACTGGATATGGAACAACTGATTGGTTCAAGATTGGGAAAGGTGTACGACAAGTCTGTATATTCCCTCCCTGCTTATTTAACTTATATGCAGAATACATCATGAGAAAGGCAGGACTGGATGAATTCCAAGCCGGAATTAAGATTGCCAGAAGAAATATCAACAACCTCAGATATGCAGATGATACCACTCTGATGGCAGAAAGTGAGGAGGAATTAAAGAACCTCGTAATGAGGGTGAAAGAGCAGAATGCAAAAAAAGGTCTGAAGCTCAACATCAAAAAAACTAAGATCATGGCCACTGGTCCCATCACTTCCTGGAAAATAGAAGGGGAAGATAAGGAGGCAGTGACAGATTTGACTTTCTAGGGCTCCATGATCACTGCAGATGGTGACAGCAGCCACGAAATTAAAAGATGCCTGCTTCTGGGGAGGAAAGCGATGACAAACCTAGACAGCATCTTAAAAAGCAGAGAGATCACCTTTTACTGAGGATGAGACGGTTGGACAGTGTCTTCTAAACTACCAATAAGAATTTGACCCAACTCCGGGAGGCAGTGGAAGACAGAAGGGCCTGGCATGCTCTGGTCCATGAGGTCACAAAGAGTTGGACATGACTTAACGACTAAACATCAGCAACAAAGTCATAACTAGCACCTTGAATTGAGTACAGAAACTGTCAGGGTGCCAATGAAGGTGTGCCAAGACTGGGGTTATATGATCAAATTTACTAGTAATGTATTCAGTCCGGCCAGTGCATTTTGGATCTTCTGAGGTTTACACACTGACTTCTAGGGCAAGCTCTATGTGAGAACATTACAGTAGTCTATTTTGTAGCTGGACAATGTGTGAACCACTGTTGGTAGGCATTTCTTATCTAGGTAGAGCACAACTAGGCAATCAACCAAAATTGATAGAAGGCACTGTTGCCTACGGCAGATATTTGAGTCTCCATAGAGAGTGCTGGGTCCAAGAGCACCCCTAAGCTGCAAACCCCATCCTTCAGAGGAAGTGTAACCTCAGTGAAGCCAGCGAAATTTCACTCTAATCAGTAAATTCCCATCTAATAAGGATCTCCATCTTATCTGCATTCAGTTATAGTTCTAAGCCTGCAATCTCCCAATAGTTGCCATTCTAACTTCAATTTTCTAAAAACAGCTCTTCCTCTTTCCCTTTTTGAAAATAACTAAAATGGTTCATTTTTAAAGGCTGATGGCTTTTAATATCTGAATGTTATAAGCCATCAACCATGTGACAAAATAAACTCTTTTCCCACCCACGTTGTCATCATCTTAACATGAAAAAAAAACATTGTGTGGTGTTCCTCCTGAACTACTGAGTGCATCCACATCTCTGTAACTATAAAAACAACTACAGTTACACGCAGTACTTAGAAAAGTTACTTTTCGAAAACATGGCTCAGAATCCCCAGCCATCCTCTAAACTATTTCGAAAACATGGCTCAGAATCCCCAGCCAGCCTCTATCTCCCCAGAAAATGGAGGTAAACTATGGTTTGTTAAATTACAGTTTGTAATGTAACACAATACCTTTGGTATTGGCAGGAAGGTATTATCAGTGACTCATTATTTGTAACATTTTTTTTCCAAGCTCCACGTAGGCCATACTGTCTGCCTCTAGTTTCTTGGATCCCTGATTGCCTGCATTGGAACC